GAGAGAGAGAGAGAGAGAGAGAGAGAGAGAGAGAGAGAGAGAGAGAGAGAGAGAGAGAGAGATTCTCCTCACATCACAGTTCGTACCAGTCCCACCTGTTTCCTTCTCTCACACTGTGTATGCTAAATGATGCCCCTCTTTTTTCCCCACTGGCTGATTGATCTACCACGGTCGCTTGTGTCACCTTGCTATTGGCTGTTTAGTCAGGCCTCCTCTGGCTGTGTACACTCAATGATGTCCATCTGTCAGTGATGCAGCCGGGAGGCAGAGCGCCCAGCTCTTTTTTCCCCACTGACTGATCGATCTACCACGGTCGCTTGTCTTACCTTGCTGTGTCTGTTTACTCCGGCCTCACCTGGCTGTGTACAGTAAATGATGCCCATCGCCCAGCTCTTTTCTCCCCACTGGCTGATCTACCACGGTCGTTTGTCTTACTTTGCTGTGCCTGTTTAGTCAGGCCTGCCCTGGCTGCCTGCCTGGCCACAGTCCCTACTGAGACTACCTTAGCCTGCAGAAGGGCCTGGTATCAATGGGCAAAATGAACCAGGCCTGCTGCGACACTAGGCCTTCTGTGAGCTTTATGAAGGCTATGTCGCTACTTGTTTTAGACCAAAGGTCGAAAGCACCAATAACCTGCGAGGGGTTGTTTTATTTACAGCAGGGCATGTCCAGCCAGGTGCGATTGTCATTTGTCCAATACATAGAGCTAATAGTCCTGTTTGGTTGTCTCAAAACTCACGACTACGAGATAAACCCGATGTAGCTCCCTATGTGCTGAAGGTGCTGCGCAACCGCAGAGACGACAGGCGTGATGACGGACAGATGAACAGGCAAAAACATTTTACGTAACATTATGTTCCTCTCTTCTAGACACTGTTTGTTCTTGGTCCTCGTTTTCTTCGTTTCCCGTTTCCTTGGTTACCTGCATCATTCCCTTAAAGCACCAGTACATGCCAGCTATCGGTAGCGGGCCCCTTTCGGACGCCGTCCGACGCCAATTCGTTTTATCTACGGCGCTCGGCCTCCTAAATTTTCGGAGAGGCTCAAAACAGGTTCTCCAGTTGCCTGGGGACATGTACTGGTGGTTTAAGCAGTTAAGACTCTTAAGAGAGTCTCTAAAGCTTGCAAACATGCTGGGATTTCAACCCGTGTCTGTTTCGTGTTTCCTTAATTGATAAGCTGCAGAGACGTAAACCATCAGTACAAAAAAATAAAAAATAAAAAAAATCATTACCTTTCACAGGCAAATTCATGTGACAAATTGGTTTGCATCCACATGCTTCGGGTGCTCAACCTCCCAGACCGCTTTGGCTGGCGGTGTCGGCCGAAAAGAAATAACTACGGGTGCGCAGGTTCATTTCAAACCAGGCACGGAGCACAAATCCGCTACAGGGAAAATAGGCTCGGTGGTAGTGTGGTTAGAGGGATGATGGACTCTAGCCTGTTTTCTTTCACCAGGCATTTCATGCTTGGTACTGGGGGGGGTTAAAGGTCTGTCTCAAATGGTTTCCTTCCGCCACTGCCCATCTTTTTACTGGGAAACAAGTGTCCTCATCAGAGAAAAGAGAGAGAGAGAGAGAGAGAGAGAGAGAGAGAGAGAGAGAGAGAGAGAGAGAGAGAGAGAGAGAGAGAGAGAGAGAGA